CAATGATGGTACACCTTCCCAGTAGCAGTATTCTGTGCTACTGTGTCTTCTTCACAGCACTGCCGGTGCAGCCATACATGCTGTAGATGTGAGAGTGTTCTGTCAGCATGCAGCTGGTCTGTCCGTGTGTTGGGTTTTAAGGAGCTGGAATTTTAAGACAATTTTCTGGCCATTTTTAATTTTCCAGTTAGGTTCTACCTGTTATTTAGATACTGATACAGTAAGCTGTCCTGGTGCTCTACCTAATTATAGTCTGCAGAAGACACTTGCTAATAAGGTAAAGATGGGTGGTGTGTGTATGGAGCTGTTAGTGTTAATTACCTGTGGGCAGCCTGAGACTTAATCTGTTTTTTACATCATTGCAAACGACAATGGGAACTGTCCCCGTCTTTTAATAATTCAGTAGGAAAATCGGCATTATTTATGAGTTAGTAAGGGATGGATGTCAGTAACGTTCACTTTTCCTGTCTGTTTTAAGGAATATCCCCAGAACAACTTGTACCGAGTGCCTCCCCTGTACTCGCCCGTGCCCCCGCTGATGCCCCATGCCCAGCCTGCGCTGTGGGGCTATGGCGCCGTGGGGCAGCCCCAGCCCGGCTTCTTCCTGCAGCACCAGCCCCTGCTGCCAGGTATGTGGGGGCTATGCTCTGGGGTGCGTGGCTATGTCTGCCACTGCCATTTATTCCATTCCTTCGTTAGCCTGGTTTTTTAAGGGCTTTCTCTTATCAGTTTAGGTCTGTCTCTATGAAGCTATTAAACTTTTTTGGTGGTTAGGCAGAACTGACCCACTGTGTGGGAGAGCTGGTAGAAGTTCAATGAGGAGTGAGATGGGAAAGGGACGATGAAAAGGAACAAACGACCTCTGGGTTATTTCTTCTTTGATTCATACCAAGAACCATGGGAGTAATTTAACATCTGCTGGATGGAATAAATATATCCATGGGCTTGCATTTTTTCAACATTTGAGACATGTGCTAAATTTTTTGTAGGATTATTTTTGTTTCTTCCAGCTAAGGTGTGCACAGTTTAATATGGGTTTTATTTGCTCTAGGGGGCAGCAGTTTATGATGTTTTGGGAAATGCTGTTGCGTCCTTGCAGGAGAAGTTTAGAAGATTGTTTCCAGTTACACATGTTAACTGTTTTTTCTGAAGCTCAAAATACAACCAGATCTGTATTTTCAATGTGTAAAAGTCTTCAGGATTCCCTAGACAGTGGTGAAAAAGTTCAAGGAAATACTGATTTTAAAAAACAAATGTATAGGATTACCTTCATAAGTCTGACATATAGATACATGGTCTTTATCAAATAGCACAGAGTGCATAAATTAGTGCCATCTCATTATAACATTGGCTTGACATCATGAGCTGTTCATATCATGCCTGTGGTCTGACATGCAACTTTTGTTCATCAGTAGTAGTCAAACGTTTTATGTGATATAGAACACACAGCAGCCCATAGCCTTTTTACTTTTCGTCTCATTTACAAGTGGTAGTGTTCAGAGGTATTTTGCCAGTTTAATTTTTCGGACCAGCAGTCTGGTTTACTGCAGTTCACTGCCTGCACAGAAATGAGTTATCATCGCTATTGTAGCACTGCCCAAAGAGGAACATCTGAATTAACGGTGATCTGTACCAAGTCTTATGGAATGCAGAGACTTCATTTATGTTTTGGGTGGTTTTCAGGTGGCTCCAGGCTGGACCCGACGGGTGCCTTTGCTCCCAGCAGTACGAAGCAGGCGCTGTCAAACATGCTGCAGCGGCGCTCGGGCACCGTGCTGCAGCCGCCTCCCGCGCAACCCGTGGCGCCCCAGCAGCAGCTGGTGCAGATGAAGCTCCTGCAGCATGAGCAGCAGCAGCAGCGGCTCCCCCCGCCGCAGGC